GTTTATGGTAAATGATAATAAAAAGAAAAATCTATTTTTTTCCACGCAGTGTCCAGAAAGAGGTGCTGTTCTGCTTGTTGTCTCAGCTTCGGTCAGCACAAGCTGTCTTGTAAATTTTAGAAATTTTGGAATAAATACCAGACTCGGCATTCCTAAACATCCTCTCACCTCTTGCTCTTTCTCCCACAGTCGGTCCTCGAGGTCCTGGATGATGTCATCAGACGAGGGGGAGGGTCGCAGAGGTGCTGGAGCGTCACTCAGGTGGCTCAGCCTCTGATAGGACGAGGAGCTCTTCCCTGAGGAGGACCGACCGCTGTCTGAGGCACTCAGCCCGTTCTGCTGGGCAAAACCACGGCGTGACGGTGACGCTTCAACGACATATTAGCTGCAGGGAGAATTGAGCATCAAAATAAATCAGAGGACAGCCTTACCTGGTAGCCGGGTTTGTCCAGTTTGTCCAGACCTGCAGCTGCCCCCGCCATGCCCAACCTGTTAATGTGGCTGGTAGAAGCACTGAGGGGCCCTAAGACCGCTGGGGGCCCACAGCCAGACCCCGAGCCTGTGTAGGTGGGCAGACTAGTCAGGGAGTTTCTCCCTGAATCTGACATCCCTCCCTGAACCACCTCAGTACCATTTCCCCCTCCATCACTCCTGCTGACCCTAACTGGACTGTCTTGGTCCAGGAGCAGGGCCTCTGGCACCTCCCCTCCGTCCCCTCCCACTGCGTCTCTGCCTCTCCTGCCTACTCTGCCCTCACTGAACCCCTCGCCCCTGGCGTCAGTCTTTCCCTCGCCCCCAGCCCCTCCCGCCTGGCCCACCAGGTTCTGCATGGAGTGAAAGCTTTTGGGAACCACCGGCTTGAAGGCGGAGGGACGGACGAGGCCGGAGGTGCTCTGCATCGCCTGCGGAGTAGAAGGAGGAAGGATTCAAAATGAAACAGATAAATACTGGAGTCATGTCACTGCTAAATTATGCAATATGTGTAAAATTGTTTACAACAGTTTAGATACACCCATCATCATCAGCATGAATGTCATATCGATTTGGGATTTTTCATTAAATATCAGGGCCAGTTAATTAATTGTAAAAACAAGAATCAAGTGCACAAGTGGAAGTTTTTTTGGATTTTCTTTAATCAACTCAATTCAGTCCATGAAATCCTACAAGAGCGCTCAGATAGATACACACATCCCTGCTAAGTTTTGGTTAAATGCTCCTTAGTGGGTTGTGGGGGAAGCCACACCGTTTTTGTTGCTTCTGGAAAAACTCTGCCACTCTTCTTCACAGAACCAGAAGAGCTGTTTGTAATTGTTTTTGTTGATCAGATCCAGCTTTCAAACAGAGTCATAGAGTTTTCACTTCATATTTTTATTAATTTCCGGACCAGTTTTGATCTGTGTTTTGGATCATTTTGGGAACAATGAAATGCATCCAGCTTTTAACCGTCTAGCTTTTAATATGCGGACAAGTTAAGGAATTTAAAGTTACAGTAGTGCTACTTCTTCGTCTGTCTATATCATATGTGCAATGCACAGTACTACTGCGAGGGAAACCGACCCTTAGTATGATACTGCCACCACCATGGTCAACAGTTCTTTTCATCATTGTGTCCAAAGGTGTTGATTTTGAAGCAGGTTCCTCTTTAGTCAATGTTTTAAGCCAGTAGTGATGTAACTCTTACTACACTGTTTACTCTTAGGCTTGAGCCTTGTTGGCTCCTGGGTTGTTCAGGAACATTATGACTCATTCCGCTTCACCTGAGGGTGACAGTTTGGGTTGAGTAGAAGAAATTTGGACACTTTAACACAACAGTGACCTCAAACACATTAAAATGTTTTAGAAAGATTTACATCAAGATTCCAGAAACGTCGCCCCAAACACCCTGACCTGAACGTCAATGAAAACTTGTGGATTATGTGACAGGAAATCAGCCAGTTCTGCCAACTGTGCCAAAAGGAGCGGTCACATATCCAACCAAAATTATGTTGGAAGCTTCTTGATGACTGCAAACACCCAAAATTAATATGACATCCATTCCCGTGATGAGTGTATGTAAACTTCCGCACAGAACATTAGGGTTTTGGTGTTATGTCTGTAACTCTATTAACTGGTGTCATAAAGTTAAAGAATGTGTATTAATGCCATTATTTGTTATTATTCCAACAGAAAATCAGCTCAAAGTTATCTTTGCTGATATTTTTCTCTATGCTTGCTTAGTGTGTTATATATTAGATTTTTCACATAAGTGTAAGCAATAACTGCTTAGCTTAAGTATATAATATATATATATATATATATATTTTTTTTTAACTTTTACAATAATTTCATGGGTCTTTTACACAATAGAGGAAGTCTATAGAATATCTTTAATTACGAGTTATCACGGGATACAAAAAATAATAATAAGTGGTGTATTTTCATGTTTTCCGGTTGTCTTCTGGCTGTTCTAAGGACTTATTTTCTTTAGCATTTGCTGGTCAAATCAAGATGAAATACTTTTAAACAGGGTGACAAAGCTGCAGTGTTTCCTGTCAGAATTAATTTTAAATTTCTGCCACTGTTCTATGAAGCATGTTACGAGAAACAGACATGAACAAGATGAGGAAGCATTTAGATGTTGATCTCTCTCAACTTTTAAAAAAAATATGAAACCCATTTTCCCCCTTTTGAACCAGACATAGCCCTGACATTTCCAAAATCTGCCTCTGATTGGCCAGTCATGTTCCTTGACGTTTCCTTCCCTCTAAGATGAGTTGAGACTCAAACAGAGTAAAACAAGAATCAGATGTCTGAAACAGAGAGAAGACTGATAACCTCTTCAGATTTATTTGGGATAAATATTTTTGTTTACTTAACATTTGCCTTATTTTTCCTGTGAAATTTATTTTGTTTTCTAGTTTTTCCTCCACTCTTCAAACATGTGTCCACATCCTGTAGCAACTTTCTTAAAAAAAAAGAAGAAAAAAAAAAGATAAATCTGTTGATTAGAATGTAAAGTGAGTAACGAGCAGGACCCCCAGTTTGACTTTTGATGCAGTCAGAAAACAGGGGCTGTTTTGCCAAGATTTTCCTGTTAACTAAGCGGAGCGAACAGTACTGTACGGAGCATGAACAAGATACAAGCTGGTATCTTGTTCCAACATGAAACACAGTATAAGTTGCTGAGTTGTTCCTTTAGTGGCAATTATGGTGGTGGGAGTTTCTCCCTCTCTGATTAAAATTAAATAGCAGAATTCAAAATTTAGTTTCAGTTAATGGCACAAGCCTTTTTCTTTAAATTCCTTCTTGACACGTACATAATCCTTTCATAAAATTTAGATTTTTAACTATTTCAATGGATGTTGTGAGAATCTCTTAGCTTGTAAGATCTGGTTAGTGTTAGTGTCTTTGTTCATATTTATCTTTTGTAATTTGTCTATTTTTACTCTAATAAGCCACTAATAAGTTAATTATTGGTTGTTGGATACATTGATCTTTCCATTTTATTCAAACTTTTTTTTTTTTTACCTTAAACAAGTCTCAGTTTTGAAAAATACACAAATTCCTTAAATATATGATAGAGCTTACTCTGTGGAAGTAAATAATACTTTGAACAGTTTTTATTTAAAAGATAAAGAGTTATTTATTTATGCACATGGTTTATCGTGGTTTCTTTTTTGATGAAACTGAGTCCAAAATGTCAAACTACCTGCTCCAGTTTTCCTGACACGGCCATGATCTTTGGCGGGTTGTGGTTTGGTGGGTTGTGGCCAACTGGATTGTTTTCATTGTCGGTTCTGGTCGCAACCATCTCTCTGTGCTGGTGGTGGTTCACGCCCACACTGGTCTTCTCGCTGACTCCTCGACCCACAATGTTTCCACAAACATCCAGACCGGCCGCCTGCATCTGCATCTCCCTCTCCCTCTCCCTCTCCATCCGCTCGTTCTCCAGCCTCTCTCTTTCGCGCTCCCTCTCTCTCTCCCTCTCGCGTTCCCTCTCCCTCTCTATCTTCTCCCTCTCTATCCTCTCTCTCTCCCGCTCCCGGGCCCTCTCCCTCTCGCGCTCCCTCTCGCGCTCCAGCCTCTCCCTCTCCCCCCGTTCCCGTTCCCTCCCCCGGTTTCTCCCTCTCTCGCGCTCCCTCTCGAGCCGCTCCCGGTCCCAGTCTCTGTCCCGGTCCCGGTCCCTGCCCCTCTCGCGCTGCCTCTCCCTGTCCCACTCCCTCTCCCTCCTGACAGCTACGTTCCCACAGTCCAGCTGGTTGTTGTTGGAGGGGGCGGTCATGGTACATTCAGTGTGGGTTGAGGAGGCTGTCTCTGTTGGCCGGTCAGTCCCGGTGCAGGTCCCAGTCCCGATACTAACACTGCCTCGCTCATCGCTTGACGCCGTCCCGTCCGAAATAGTCGCCGGGGGGCGAGGCAGCCGCTCGGCGCTGCAGCTGCGGTCTGCAGGGCAACGGCGAGAGAGAGGAGGGGCTCGGGGCAGGGTGGTCCTCGTGCCCACGGACTTCATGGCAAACTCCTGCTCTCCTGCCACCCCACTGCCAACACTGCCCATAGTGGAGGTCAAAGGTCAGGGATTAGAGGTTAGGAGTCAGGATTGGGGAGGGTCACAGATACATTTGGAAGTAGTGTGGGTCATCACAACCTAATGCAGGTAGTGGGGGCACACACACTAGAGGAACACAGAAAAACGAAAGCAGTTATACAATATAATAATTGCATAATGACTAGTTATACAATATTAGAGGCAAGTTAGACTCCAACCCACAAACAGGGGCATTGTGGTCCTCCCACCACCATGAAAAACCAAAAGGGTCACAAAGATTAGTCTGACCGGTAAAAAAATAGTTGAAAATTATGAAACTGGTTATTTGATCATGAGAGGGGCAAACAGAGCGAATCTCCAATAACACACAGGCACCTCTGGTTAAGATGTGTTAAAAGCCTTGAGATCAATACCTTTTGTTTTGCTGTATGTAGCATAAAGTGCTGGGAAAAAGTTTTATTTTTTATTTTTTTTACAGTAAATATTTTTTTGCTTTATTTTAACTTCCCTCATCCAGGCCACTGCCAAACCTCAAGAAATCAATGAAATGGATCTGAGAACGGGAAACAGGCTAAACTGGAGGTGAAAATTCATTTTTATCATTTATTATTTATTGTGATAAATTTCTTGTCATGATAAAATTTTAAATTCATTGTTGTCATGATAAATTCCAATGAAGTGATATTTACAAAGCTCTAAAACGGGCCTTAGTGTTGGGATTGTTATTTTCTTTACTATTTTTCCCAGTTTGTTCAGCATATATCAATACATTTGAAAATATAATTAAATGCGTGCAGGTTAGTGATATAAATCACTTCTTTATGTGACTGGTGACCAAAAGAAGCATATTAGAAATGGGGATGTTTTTCAAGAGCAGTACTTGTGTTTGTGGGGCTATGATTGCTGTGCCATGCAGTCATACAGCCACCCTAAAGAAAGAAGCAATAAATTGTTCTTATCACTTTTATCATTATCACAACATATCATGATGAAAATTTAAGTCCATATTACCCATCCCTTGGCTACATGTTTTCTAACATCAACTGATCCTGTCCCAATGTAAAGAAATTCAAGAACAAATGCAGAACAAAGGACCAACATCTATCTTTCTGAGAAAATGACAACAAAGTAACTTCAAAGGCTATGAGACTCCAGCAAACTACAGTGAGAGCACTTATCCACAACCGGAGAAAACATGGGAGTAGGTCAGACCGGCCTACCAGAATTACTCAAAGAGTGCATCAACAACTCATCCAGGTCACAAAAGAACTAAAAATAACATCGAAAGCACTGCAGGCCTCACTTGTCTCAGCTAAGGTCAGTGTTCATGATTTAACAACAAGAAAGAGAGACGAGGCAAAAATGTCATCTATGGGAGAGATCCAAGGCCAAAACCGCTGCTGACCAACAAGAACAAAGAGGCCTGTCTCACATTCATCCGCAGATAAAAGTGGAACTTTTGGGGAAAATGTGCACCTTGTAATAGATGGTCTATAGGATTGAAAAAAAAAAAAAATCATACTGATAGTCAAAGTTGCTTCTGCTCTGTGTTAGAAAATCCTGAAGAAGGATGTTTTGTCATGACTTTAAGTTCAAGTTAAACAGTATGACAAAGTCCAACAAGTCCACCTCTGAATGGCTTAAAGCAGGGGAGCCCAAGTCAAATCCTCGAGAGCCACCATCCTGCAACTTTCAGATGCATCCGTGCTTCAACACACCTGAATCAAACGAATGGCTCGTTATCAGGCCTCTGTAGAGCTGATCCCGGTCTGTTGGAGTAAGGATACTTCTAAAACTTGCAGGATGGTAGCTCTCGAGGACTGGACTTGGGCACCCCTGGCTTAAAGGGAAGATAAATTAAGGTTTTGAAGTAACCTGGTCTAGTGTTTCCCAACCCTGGTCCTCAAGGCACACTGCCCTGCATGTTTTAGGTGTTTCCTTGCTTCAGCACAGGTGATTTCAATTAGGAGGCGTTTGCTGAACTGCAATCAGCTGAATGAGGTGCATGAAAGCAGGGAAATTTCTAAAGCATGGAGGGCAGTGTGCATTGAGGATGTCATGAGGTGGCGGTTTGTGAAGGTGAGAATGAACGCAGGAGTCCAGGTTATGAAGAAAGTGATGATGAATTTAATGATGAAAGTGATGATGAATTTAATGATGAAAGTGGCTCAATCAGTCCAGATCAGGCAGCACGGCAGACAGATTAGCACACAGCTAAATACCGGTAGCAACTGAAAACAAGAACTAGACCAACACACGACTTAACAGTTCGACTGTGAAGGTAAGCAGACAAACGATGAATGACGTAAACACGACAAGGACCCAACAAGAGACAAAGACATACACAGGGAGGGTAATCAAGGAATGAGACACACCTGGGAAGCAATCAACGGGGAAGTTCAGAAACAGAGACTCAGGACAGAAACTGAACACAGAAAAACCTTAAAATAAATACACAGAAACACGGATCATGACAGAGGACCAGGGTTGGGAAACACTGGCCTAGTCAAAGTGCATACATAAATAAGTTTATGTATTTATGCTGCAGCATTAAAATGCATAACCTTAAGCAGGTTATTGGAAACACTCATGTGGCTAAACCTAAAAACTTAGGTTTATGGGACAGTTACTTTTTCACAGCACTGTAACAGTAAATAGAATAGAAACAATAGAAACAATCATTTTATTTGAATACACTTGTTTATGGGGATAAAAGATTCAATGTTAAATAATAATAAGCTTGGGAATGCATGACATCACAAACTAATTAAAATACCGTCAAACTAGTGGCTTATACCAGGACACTTTCAAAATAGATGCAGGCCTTTTAAAATTTGTATAATTTGTTTTCTATGTTGTGTTTTTTCTCACGCATACTTTTAACTTGACAGTTTTCCAACTATAGCATTAGGTGTGAACTCCACTGATCTAGAGAGATTGGCCAAAGTTCCCTGCATAATCCAACAATGTAATCTATAAAGACAAAGTTCTGTCATATTAGCACTTAGTTCCAATTTTTTTTACAATCATTTTTTTAACAAGGGATTCTCCCCCTTCTCTGAATAAATGTTCTTAAATTCGAGATTTGATTATTCTACATTTTTCAATTTAAGTTAAAAGGTTATTTTATTTTAATGCTTTTTACACATGTTAACCAGGACGTCAAGGAATACAAATTTAAGAAAAGCCCCTTCTGCCCATGTGAATAAAAACACAACTCAAATTTTCCATCCAATTGTTTCACTTGACTGAAAAGCAAATATTTTTGTTTTTTTCACTAAAAGAACAACGGAAAGAAACATACTAAACACAAGCTCTGCAATAAACACGGTGAAGGTTGTCAGCTCCATTTTCCCTCATCTGGCATGTATTACATAAGCTTAATGCCTGTTGTTGTCATTCAGAAATCTTATAACTATTGCAACTGTAGTTTTAAAAACTATACTAGTATGGCGATGGTTTCCTCCATTGTCTCCAACATTGTGTGCCAATTCAGTTTTAGAGTCGATCACTTGGAGTAAGACTGCTTCAGGACCAAACAGCAATAAAAGTCAACACCTCAATCTGAGCTTGTTTCTGTTGAGGTTATTGTTAATAGGTGCAGTCACTATGACTTACATGAGCCTGGGAAAAATATATTTGAATCAGTGTTGGGATAAACTGTGTGTTTTAAAGGGCCTGAACAAATCTATAGTTTTACAGCAACTCTTCCATGGGAAGAGTTTGTTTTGACTCTCTTATTGGGATGATTTTATATCCATATTATAAGCAAGACAGACTGGAAATCTGCTGCTGCTGCTGCCAAAAAATGTTTTTCGTAGCCTTTTGTAGTAGATTGGTTAATTTAATATTTGATTGGAACATAGTTCATAAAAACTCAGTTCATCATGATGGTAAAAAGGCTTTTTCTCTCAGCTACATTTCAGGTGAGAAGAAATGCATTATGGGCATGAGATTCATATTAAGTTTGGCAGTTTTGAATGATTTGCAGGGTGGAATAATTGTACAACAATCAGTGTCAACAGGGGTTCAAACATATTTTATATTTTCAAATTAATTATATACTAATTTACTCTTAAATTTATGGCTCATATTCACAAACAATTCTGAATTCAACCAAATCATTTTTAAGGAAAGTTGTCTCCTAGTGTTTGCCTGCAGACTTAATGATTTATGGTTTTATGTAGAAATATTTTTCCTATCTGGTGTTAAATTTTTTAACAAAATAGGAAAGAATCCAACTGTAAAGAAATCTTCAGAAGAATCATTACTGTGTTCACTCAGTGCATCTTTGTGTGCTTTTTCTGACAGATGAACAGCATTTAAAAGTAAAGATTTAGGGTGTACCGAACTGTACATTGGTCAAACGTGTCTCCTGTTCTGCGTTTTCCATTCCAGAAGCTCTTTTCTCTGTGAACCATGGTGGTGATCATACTGCTTCCACGTCAATGTCTGTTTTGGTAGCTGGATTTTATCTCTAATTCTGTTAAAATGCCTGGTTTCTGTATAAAAGGAATGATGCAAAAAAAAAAAAAAGTTGGGGGTGGGAGAATAAGCATAAGTATGCACACCCTTAACCCAAAACTTTGTGAAGACACTTTTTTCAGGTTATAGCTTTTCACACTAGATTTTAATTATGATGCATCTGGCCAACCTAAATAAAATTCAGCTTTGCATCTTTTAGACATAGCTTTTGAAGAAGTTTTAAATGAGCAAACCAATCTCATTTTACAAACGTATCAAACAGGAAAAGCACAGAAAACAATAATCAATAATAATGGATTTTGTGTCTTTCTAAATGTAAAATGTACAACTCAGTGCCAGAAGGAAAGCAAATGACCTTCTTAAAATGATAGCTGAAGCTGGTAAAACAATTAGCAGTGAAAAAAACTAATTATTGTATCACCGTGGGATGAAAGGCCACTCCGAAATCAAGAAGCCATTACTCAAAAAGAAGCACGTAGCGTGCTATTTATGTGATATTACATCTGAAAGAACATTGAGCAGTAAATGCAAGTAGGGAGAAAATAATAGCAGTCCAAGAAGGAAGCCTGGAGGCACCCCACTGGGGAGGGCAAGTAAAGAATACTTTACAAAACTTAGAAACATTGTTGCAGTAGGGACTGGTGCACTACACAAAATAAATGCTACCATGAGGGAAGCATTTATTTTGCTTCCCTCATAATATATTTCCTATATTATGTGGAAATATTGAGGCAACATCTCAAAGGCACTAATGTGTCTTCCAACTGATCGGTGACTCAATCCATACAGCCAGAATCAAAGTGGCTTCAGAACAACTAAGTCAGTGTTTTCAGGTGATTATCACAAAGTTCTCAGGCAGGAAGTTAAAGTTTGGGCACAAATATATTATATCTGTACAGTATATGTAAATATCTGGATTTAGCTGTATGGCACAGTTAAGACAGTCGTCAGTATTTGGGGAAAATGTGGGACAATGATGATAAAAGAAAAACTGGAAAGTTCTACAAAACATAAAGAAGACAACAAGAATCCCACTGAAAGAACTATAATTTTTTGGAGGGTAATAGTTATGGTAGGTTTGCAAGACAGAAGCCTTTCTTTCAAATAAAATATTCATTCCTCTTTAAAATCTCAAAACATCTTGCATGAAAATGTGTTTTAGGGAGATGAAAGCAAGACTGAGCATTTGAGCAACGATTTCAAAAGCCACGTTTGGCACAAAAACAGCTCTGAACATCAAACAAACACCGTAACCACAGCAAAACATGGTGGTGCCATCATAATGCTTCTTCAGATGGAGCTGTGATTTCTGGAGGAATTTATCAAATTATCCCTAGATATGCAAAGTAGGCACCTGCTAGAAATCTAAAATTGAACTTGGACTTTAGTGTTTTATAATTGCAGTGAGCCAAAGCATACATTTAAATCAGCAAAGCAATGGTTTCACCAGAAGAAAATAAAAGCTTGGGAATGGCTTAGATTAAGTGAATCCAACAGTAAACCTGTGTGGCCAACTAAAGAAGGCAGGGGGACAAGATATGTCCTCACAATCTGACGGATTATGAGACCTTTCACAAACAGAGTGGGCAAATACTCCCAAACCAAGATATGGCATACTAATAAACTCCACAAATAATTAGTTTAAGACTGTGCACATTTATGCAACCAGGTCAGCTGTTTTTTGTTGTTGTTGCTGTTGTTTGTTTTTATATTTATCCCCCAAAATATGCTTTTTTTCAGATTATTATATATGCGGCATAGGCAGAAAAATGTTTTGAAATGATTTAGCTTTCGATTTTTCTTCAGCACAGCACCAGGTTAACAGGGAGATGTATGCTTTCGACATTTATTCCCATACTGATGCATGCATTCATTTAATTTGGGCGTAAAAGGCCAAACAAAATGGACTAAATGGGGAAAAAATGCCATATTTATGTTGAAATGAATGGAATTGAAACCCCATCAGATAAACTAATTAGCAAAGTATTTAGATAGATAGATAGATAGATAGATAGATAGATAGATAGATAGATAGATAGATAGATAGATAGATAGATAGATAGATAGATAGATGCAGTCATGCCATGCACCTCCCCTTCTCAGCCCATTTACTAGAGGTTTACTTCCGCTCGGATGAATAGTAGTAGTAGTAAAATACCCTGGCTATGTATGTGCTGCTCTGCCTCCATCCCCTCCCCTCACGACTCCCTCGCTCTCCCTTTTCTCTGCATCCCTGGGCGGCAAGGGCGGCTTTAGCAGCATCCGCATCAAGCCCTGAATCCACTGCGCTCCCTGACAATTACCGACTAGGCCTCTGACTGGGAAAAAATAAACCCACAAAAACCTCACGACCCTCGCCGAACACAGGGAAACAATAACACGAGCAATCTACATCAAAATGCACAGCGTCTCTGACATTGACGACGTATCATGCAGCAGCTTTGATTTACCGATTGTAGCATCCCGGCGGTCCGTCATCAAAAGGCTACTCACTGTTTCTGCAGCTGGCTGGTCGGTAAGATGGCAGCCTGGAATCAGCAGTATTGTCACAAGACGGCGTCGGTGCTGCTCGCCCGGGCTCTGAGTGGTTCTGCGTTGCTACCGCGGCTCGGTTGTCTTCGACCGCTGTCAGCGTCGGATGCTGATGATGGAGTCGGTCGGTGGTTACGCGCATCAGCTGAGAGACACACACCCACCTCTGGCACCGCCCCCTTCAGCGGCACGATACAAACGCCCCCTTTTGGCGTTCATCCAGTGTTCATGGGAATGGTCACCTGGATGGATGGATGGATGGATGGATGGATGGATGGATGGATGGATGGATGGATGGATGGATGGATGTGACATTCCTGAAAAGGTTTCCTGAGAATCTGACCTAGCTACCTACCACACCAATCTCGTTTATTAAAAATAAAACACTTTAAAAACAACAACATTGCTGATCAGAGTGCAAAACATTGAATTAAAGAAAAACGAGAAAGAAAAAAAACAACACAAGATAACGTAATGATTAAAATAATAAAATAATTCACTAAATAGTTCAAATAAATTCAAAAATACTTTACTGAATCCAAAAGGAAATTAAATATACTTATAGGTCACTTAATTGAAGTTTTTGTTGATGGTGATGGCTGTGGGTAGGAAAGATCTCCTGTAACTGTCTGTGTTACAACAAATTTGAAGAATCCTCTGACTGAGACACCTTGTGTCTCATGAAAAGGATAGTCAGAGTTATCTCATTATTTGATGTAGGATCGTTTTTTCTAGCATCATCTCCAAAGTAATCCCCAAAACAGAACCAACCGTCTTCATCAGGGTGTTGAGCGTCTTTAAGGTTATAATGCTGCTCCAAATAATGACAGCAGAAGAGAAAATACTCTAAAGAATATTATTCCACTGTGTTCTCTGTAATTCCAATCACCCTGTTTGCAAACGTTAAAGAAAACACAAGTAGAATTTGTAAGCTGTTGGAAAACTTAACTTTTCTTAGCTGAAATCAAGGAAATGTGAGTTTACTGGTAACATCATTCAAAGTGTTTTACAGGAAAATCAAGGAGGGAGGTTTATGAAAATTAAATTACATTAAAAACAAGAAATACAATAAAACAATAATGACACATTTAAAAATAACAGAGAGAAAGAAATGCAAAAATACAACTTTAAAGGAAATAGTTAACACATACTATTAAACTTCTACAGTCATCCTTGACTTTCATAACTCCAGTACATGTTGACATTTTACAGATTCAAACAAAATCCTTTTTGTTTTCCTTTTTAATGTTTTTTTTTAATCTAGTGTATTTTAAGACAAAAGCATATTCACAGATTTAAAATAACAACTATTTAACAGATACATAAATACCAAAACCTCGAATGAACTGGATGGATAAATGTGAAAGAAGGTATCTGTAACTGATTAGTATCCAGACTTATGTGACTGCATCACTCACAAAAATACCAACTTATTGTTTTTAAATGAAAAAGCTCTAAGTGCTTAGTTTTGTTTTTCTAACACTAATAACTTCATAGCGAGTTCACAATTGAGAGTTTCCGTTGCTTATGGCTTAGTGTTTCATGTGAAAAAACATCTACAAAAGCATGTTTATTGTGTTCAAATTTGGGCAGGTGTCCAGGAGGTGGCAGTGTTGTCACAGCTGGAAAATTGTTACCAGGAGCGTTGAATCAATCCGTTTCTGGGGGATGTTATTATTATCGCTGACCGCTATGAGGCGCTATAATTCCCTCCAATCAACTTGACCCCAAGACTTTATCAGTTCATGCATGGACACAGAAATTATTTTCAGTCACCTCTCACCTCTTTGTGAGATAAACAATCTCAATTTTTGGAAAAAATACGTAAAAGAACATTTCTATGTAAAATGTTTTCTACTTATGTAGATGTGTTTCTTAACATCTTGTCAGTGTAAACTGGTTCATTACCTGTCGTCCCGATGGAATCACCGTCCTAACAAATGCATGAAATGAAGACTTTGCTTACTGGTTATTTGTACTTCTGCTGCTGATGATGATAAAATATTGAGACCTATCATCCATATAGCTATAATCCTTTGTCTGGAAATTACTTTGGGGTTTGGGAAAACTATTACATCTTTACTCCCAACACACACACTTTCCAGAGTAAAAAAAAAAAAAATTCTAAAAGAAAAGCACTTCTCATGTTAAGGTAACTGAGAAAGTGGCAGAAGCTGTCGAACAAAACTTGTTTCTGAATAAAAATTTTTTAATACACCTGTAAAACCTTTGCCTTTCACTCACTAGATCACTCTAGTGTCCATCATTATTACTTTTGTATTTAATGTAATGTTGTGTATGCTTTTTATTCATTTATTTTGTCCAAGATTTGTATTTATTTTATTTGTCAACAGTGTAGTCAGGGGTGGGGGTTACAAATTACCTCCGTCTAGAAACACAGACACAAAACATTTACTTTGCATTAAACATAAAAGCAATATTCTCTGGATGTGTCCCTGGTTAAATAAACAAGTAAACTAAAGATATATTTCTGCAGAATCTGACTTCCTTTCTGTTTGACCTTTAAAGGTACTTTACTGCTACTTTAACTGTTTTGTACAAATCCAGTTGTGTTGGAGGCTCCTCTGTTTTCCACAACATACAACAGGAAAAGTGAATTTTCTCTCATGTGTCATATGTTTTGTTGCAACCAGACAGAGGGAGCATGTTGGAGAAAGCACCAGAACAGAGTGGAGGCTAAGAGACGGAGCGGCTCTGTTTCTATGAAACGTCTGGCAGCTGTTCAGCAACACCTCCAAGGCCTGATGGACAGGTCCAACTGAGAGACAAAAATAACCCTCAGGGAGAGGACAGCTACCAGGTCCTGGAAGTGGGGGGTGTGGGGAAATGTCCCAGGTGATGGGACACAACATTTAAAATGTGAACGCAATTTAATCAGTCCTGTAAGTTCGATGGTTAGTGCTAGCGGTGATCGCTTCACACAGTTATGACTGTTTCATGAAAATGTCTGTAAACCTTAAGAATTTTGATTTTGGGGCATCCAATGAGACAACCCCCTCTCTGAGCCGCTTGGTACAGCTCAAGTGGGGTAAGGCTATTTTAGTCCCTGGAGGGAGGAATGTCCAGTTGCCACAGAAGATACAACGTGTTGGTTTGCGAGTTCTCCAACTATCTTTCTAGTGTGATAGCCTTCGCTCAGCTCAAGCCACCATTCATTCCCCGAAATCTGGGAAAGAGGAGCACCGAGAATGGAGAACGTGGCCATATTCGACTCTCCTGGGAAAGGAAGGGGCTTGAAGGCCGCCAAGGAGTTTTGGGCTGGAGATGTAATTTTCTCTGAGGCCAGTCTCTCAGCTGTTGTGTTTGACAGGTATGATGTGGAGTGAAATCAGAGGTAATGTGTTTTAATGCAACTGTGAGGATATTCAACGTTAAACACTTTTAAAATTTTGAAAGCCCTACAAGTTTATTTGTAATTTTAAGCTTAAGAGATCCGTTTTTACAAAATACTACTTATTATCAGTCATAGCTGCAATAAATGCAGTTTGAACAATGTGCAAGTGTACAATTAGCGTTTTATAATGTGTTTGATCTTCTCAATATCAATGTCATTCCCTTCCCAGAAGGAATATAATCCTTTTACAACAGATAAGCATGAAGGGGAAAATAATCTCAACTCAAAGTCCTCTTATTAGCGTTGCATGGAAGCAATTAAGTTATCTGATGTTATCTGAGTGTTTTGCAATATGCCCTGAAATATAGAAAAAGTAAACTAATTACACTTTGCTGATTTACTTAAAAGTCAACATAAGTAAGCAAATTCAGCAGAACGGCAAACGTGGACAAAATCTTTTTGTGACATTTTTATTACTTTTGTCTCTGCAGCCACGCAGAGCGCATTTGCCACAGCTGTTTCCGCAGACAAGAAAAGCTCCAGAGGTGTGGTCAATGCAAATTTGCCCATTACTGCGACCGAACCTGCCAACGCGCTGGCTGGGCCGAACACAAACAAGAGTGCAGTGCCATCAAGGCGTACGGAAAAGTACCAAATGAGAACATCCGGTGAGTGGAAGCCCGTGGAGAACTACGCTGAACTTTTCTGTTTGGGAATACATCAAACAACAAAACTTTACATAGAAATACATAAAAAAAAAAAAAAAAAGTTTTGTATTACAGGTGCAAGGTCACTCTCCGGTTACAGAAATCTTATGTGCTTTAAAATTAGATTATTATCATTCTATGACTAAAATGTAATATGAGAGTGCATAGTCCAAGTTCAAAGAAAAGGTTGGTGTACTCTTCAGGGATGTAAGAACTGCAACACACAGCTTCTGTTTGAAAGTATTAGGTAGCAGCATAGCTTTGTGCATAAAACTTAATGACCCTTGGCTTAATGAAGGCCAAAAAGCAAGTATAAAGTAACTAGTGATTTATTCTGTGCAATTAATTTAACATAAAACAGAAGCATACTCGACATCTATGGAGTGGAAGAAGTCTGGATATTAAAAATGTCACCATAGTCAAAAACATTTAAATTTGTTTTAGCTTTAACAAGTTTTTGCAATTATCTGATCAATTCAGACAAGCTAAACTTCTCTGAAAAACCCCCCACCTTTCTAGCTATTTAATGATCAGTTTGAGTTCTGAAAGAAAGGCCATCATGGTGATAAAAAAACACTCTGCTCAAGGTCTACCCTAAGGCAGAAATGTCAATATTAGCTGAGATTTGTGGGTCATTTCTGAAAAACGTCATCGTGAGAGAGAGGCTGAAGCTCAGCAGTACCACTTATGCAACGAACCATCTGCAATCTAACAGTGTTATTACTAAACATGGAAAATAAAAACCCAACCTAAAACTGAACCTTGGTGGACTCATTTCAAAATCTCAAGAAAACTGGACTTGGTTCCATCTACGAAACACTTTGTTCTCCATCTGTGAGGTAGGCTTCAACCTAGCCTGAAAGCCCATCACTCAGACCGGTGTCTGTGCGCATGATCAAATACCTTGCACAGATTAACAAACAGAGCAGCACAAGCCTGCTTTCTGTCCAAGGCACTGCTAATGCCATATGTACCAAAATAACTGATGCCACGGTACAGTGACACACCCAGACGCCTGGCTAATTTCCTTTTCAGGTGCTGTTGTTTCATTTAAGTTTTCATGTCAGACTCTAGAATCTTGATTCATATGTCCTT